GAACTCCCTACCGCACTTGGTGGCCTCCTATCTGACCTGCCCGCTGGACTGCCAACGGATGTAGTAGGTGGTCTCCTCTCTGACCTCCCTGCTGCCCTCCCGACCGACCTACCAATAGATGCATTAGGTGGTCTCCTCTCTGACCTGCCCACTGGACTGCCAACGGATGCGTTAGGTGGTGTTCTTTCCGGCCTCCCTACTGGGTTGCCAACAGATGCATTAGGTGGCCTTCTTTCTGAGGCGGGCCTCCCCACCGCTCTACCAACAGACGCATTAGGTGGTCTTCTTTCTGCCCTTCCTACTGGGTTGCCGACGGATGCATTAGGTGGTCTTCTTTCTGATCTTCCCACCGGGCTGCCGACAGATGCGATAGGTGGTCTTCTTAGTGACCTACCGACTGAACTCCCTGGGCTGCCAACAGATGCAGTGGGTGGGCTTCTTAGTGGCCTCTCCGCTGCTCTCCCGACTGAACTTCCTGTGCTTCCAACAGACGCATTGGGTGGGCTTCTTAGTGGCCTCCCTACTGAACTCCCCACCGGCCTACCGACAGACGCATTGGGTGGTCTCCTTAGTGGCCTCTCCGCTGCTCTCCCAACGGAACTGCCTGGGCTGCCAACAGACGTAGTAGGTGGGCTTCTTAGTGGCCTTCCCGCTGCTCTTCCAACTGAACTGCCTGGGCTGCCAACAGACGTAGTAGGTGGGCTTCTTAGTGGTCTTCCCGCTGCTCTTCCAACTGAACTCCCTGGGCTGCCAACAGACGCAGTAGGTGGGCTTCTTGGTGGCCTCCCCACATTGCTGCCAAGCGGCGTACTAGGAGGCTTACTATCCCCCGAAGCTTTGAACGGACTTCCTGATGGCCTCCCTGCTGGTATTCCCGCTGGAATTCCTTCTGGTCTACCCGTTGAATTGCCAACAGACGCTCTCGGTGGTCTGCTCGGTGGTCTTCCTGCTGCACTTACTGGTCTGCCCACTGGGCTGCCTGTACCAACAGACGCTCTCGGTGGTCTTCTTAGTGGTCTCTCTGATGGTCTTCCCACTGCACTGCCAACGGACGCTCTCGGTGGTCTTCTTAGTGGTCTTCCCAGTGTTCTTCCCGGCCTGCCAACAGACTTAGCAGGACTGCCAGTACCAACACAAGCTGTCGGTGGTCTTCTTAGTGATCTTGCGGCTGATCTTCCTACTGCATTGCCCACAAACCCGCTCGGTGGTCTTCTCAGTGGCCCTCCTGCTACACTCCCTAGTCTGCTGCCAGCTGGACTGCTAACAAGCGTAATTGCAGGATTGCCAGTACCAACAGGGGCTATCAATAGCCTTGTCAATGGGGTTCTTAGTGGTCTCTCTGCGCTCCCCACTGGTCTTCCTGCCGCTCTCCCCGCTGTTGCTTCCGCGTTGCCAGAAGGCCTCCCTGCCGTTGTATCTGCGTTGCCACTAGGAATCTTAGGCGGTGTTCCTGGCGTTCTCCCTGCCGTTGCATCCGCGTTGCCAGGGGGCCTCTTAGGTGGTCTCCCTCCCGTTGCTCCCGTATTACCAGGCCTCCTAGGTGGTCTCTCACCTGCTACGCCTTCTGCCCCCCCAGCTGCTTTAGGTGGTCTCCTAGGTGGTCTTCCAGCTGTTAAGCCTCCCAAAAACGCCGCTCCCACAGTTATACAAAGTGGTACGATTGAGGACCGTGTTTACAACTGGGCCTTCCTCTCTAATGGTGCTATCCAGGTTAACAAGTCCTTCCTATCACCTAAATTAAACGCCCTTACAGGATTCCTCGCCGACAGGACGTTTGTTGGTATGTTTACTGATGGGTTACACATTGGGAAAAATATCGTTCCTTACCCACCAGGGTACTTGCCTTTTATTTCAGGCTTGAATCTGCCCTCTGTGCTTCCCAGTCTTCTGAGTGGCATCGACGATGATTCGGGGGATTAGGGATTGTAAGTTTGAGTCTTCTATCGAAACGCTTTCTAAGCTCAGTTCATTCATTTTTATCTGGGCGTTTTCTTTTTAATGACGTTGATGTGCATGTAGCGCGCAGTAGAACTAGGATTATTTGCACAATGGAATGTATGCAAGTTCTGTTCCGTGTCGCGTGAATCTATAACTAGCTTTGTTCGCTAGTTTGACAACGTGTGGTACGATAGGAGCATCCCCATACCGGTTCTTTGTTATTTGCGCCACGCGGCCGGCATTTGTATGTAAAACGGTACCTGGATCAACAAGCGTATTCCAAAGAACGGGAGAATGGCATCGCTGTCACAGGAGTAACACGCGGTTATAATTGTGTGGATCAGGTGCATTGCGGATTTGCGCTAAGTCAATTCGAATTGACTATACACCCGTTAGCGATGCATCGGAAATTATTAACCTCACTGCCTGTACCGAGCAGAGTTGTGAAGTGTGTAAAAGCGCGCGGTCTCGGTACGTGGTCTCAAGAGAACAAACTACCCCTGGTCTCTTGGCATCTTCAGCGAGATGTTACGTCATCGTCTCAAGCAGTCTGACTCGAGTGTTTCCGTCACAGGCTCGCACTGCGGTTGTACTTTGGAAGTAAAGTACGCACTTAATCAGAGCCAGCAAAGAGCGTAGATGAAAGTCATGAGAAGAGGTAGAACCCTCGGCAAGTTGTCTAGAACTGCCCGCTCTTGCTTGTAGATCTCGGTTCGCCGCGCTGGCTAAATAACACTCTTCACCTGTAGCTAGACCGCCGCACCACCAACGACTACGCCGCAACACGCAACATTCTCTCCAATCCGTTTCGAATTCGGGAAAACTTCCTTCCAGTGTGACTCCGCCCACTTACCGTGTAAACTAGCCCCCTGATCGCATTAGACAGGAACCTCTTCCAGCCTTCGCTGGAACATCTTCGGGGCCATCAACGGCATTGGAAGCAAGGATAGATTAGATCGAAGTGGCACAGAGCGACGCAGCCCCCTTTGTTCTCACCCAACTGCGACGGAAGCTCTTGCTCAACTACCGCTTAGCAAGGTATCGGTTAGTAGTGTGAATGTGCAGAAAGCACGGCTTTCCACATCGCCCCAGAGGACTTCTAGTATGACCTGGTGGTTATCGATATTATAGGCGGAAGCCCAGTGCCCATTGGCGACTATGTTTCCTTCGACTCTTCCTCCTTAATTGCGAGTGCATCATATCAAGGGGAACTAACCAAAATGCAGGCCACCATTACAGTTCAGCGTGGTCAAGATTATATACATTCCCGCCTACTCTCATGGAGTAGCTTCGACTGGGGTACCTGAAAGAGCATCTGGCCCCGAGACCGCGCTCTCAGGCTTGGCGCTCTTGCTCATGCCTATGCATATTTTTCAACCGATTGGTCCAAAACACCTCAATAGAGCGGTCGAAACCCTCTCCCTCGGCATATGTATATATCCCGAGTGTAACATTGCCATTGATCGCCATCACCCAGACCCACGAGAAGAAGAATTTGATATCATTAGGCAGGCTCACTGGGTGCCCGTTAGTTACCACTCTCCCCTGGCTTCCATCACTTCGCTCGACTAGCTCCCCGTAGTTTTCACTCTTAATTTTCTTTATTTCCTTCATGTTACGGTTCAGGTATGCATGGGCTTGGGTGACGAACTGGCCCAACGTGATCGGATGATTGCCTTCATTGTTGATAGTCAGGGCGGCTGGTGACTGATATCGATACTGCTCGTCCTCAAAATATTCAGAATCATATTTTTGTTCGCATTCGCGGATGCAAACCTGGATGCGGCTCAGCGGCGGTTCAGTGAGAAATTCGTCCGCAAAGGGATGGCCCAAGAACGGGAGGTTGGTGGTCTGATCGTGGGGTCCAGTTGCAATTTCGATATCGTCTAAGGCGGCGAAGATGTTCCAGCGCAGGCGGTATAAGAGATCATGGCGGATTCGATGGCCCATATTGACACTCATTGCGCCGTCTGAATTTGAAGCAAGGTATGCCCAAGGCAAAATTCGGTGTTTGAGGGTGAAGGTGGCTAGTATGCGGCGTAATTCAACATATAAATTGTCCCTGCCAATCTTTTCCTGCTAAGCCTGTTGTAGCTTTTGGCTGCCTTGGCGACGGAGCTTATTAGCTAGCTATTAGCACGCATATTACACAAGGCGTAGTTTGAATTAGTTTGTAAGTAGAACTTTGAATAAGTTATAATAACAGTTCAGACACTAATAGTACTTAGTATTGCCTCATTCATGTGCTACCTATGAGTCATGGGTCTTATTCAGTCATTGCCTGAGAGTGCCATTCTGGTGGCATCGCATTTCTCAAGAGTACCGACCGCTGAATGAATGGTAGAACAACGTGATCTATGACCCTTCCAACCCCGAGTGATCCCCAACATACACAATCGTGGTCTAAGTCTCTTCCTCGGTGGCGTGTGCTGCAGTGACCTCCACGCCAGGAACAATCTTTTCGAAAGATTGCCTCAAATCGTTAACATGTGTCTGAGCGCAATTTGGGTGCGTTGGACCCCCGAATCGAGTTCTGCGGGTGACATCCACCTGAAGATGAATATACTTCAGACGTGGAAAGGAGCGTAGTAGGGTGCCATGCTTGTCAACGGGCAAGGTGTGATGCGTTATTGAGTGGTCCATTAGGGCTAGACTGCATTGTAACTCTAGTCTGGTAATCGAATTGACTTGAAGGATCGACCGAGTGGCAAGCCACTTTGCGAAGAGTGTCAAGTTATTTGCGGAGAGAAGGCTTTTCGAGTAGGGCAAGAGGGCTGTCTCGGTGTATATCTGGCGACAGACTAGGAGGAGACTGGGCACGTGTAGAGTGTGCTCGCGATGCCGCTCATCTTCTTCACTGTGGATGAGCCACTTGATCTGCTGGAAGTAATGTTCGTAAATGGAATTCCTTGACTCTGCCGACAGCTGCAGGAAGGGCGAAGCGATCTGATTGAGTTTGGAGCTGTTGACTTCATTAGAGTAGATACTAGAGGGAATGCATTATTGCGTACACTAGGAGGAGTGCGTCAAGCGGACCGCCCAAAACTCGCCTGTCGTCTTGCATATCGGTGATGATGTTTTGTGTTGTAGAGGCATGCTGCGCTATGAGAAGGTGCCACCTATCTTGACCTTAAGAGTCATTTCAACTTCGGTAATCAAAGGGCCGGGCATTGGACAAATTTGGGTCGTCCCAGAGCCGTAACGATTTATAGTCAAAGCAGACACTTTCCATTCGCTACCAGATGTGAATCGCGTTGCCGTGTACCGCATTTGTTTGGCACTGATGGAGCTGCGCAACAACAACAAAAGATAAGAACCTGCAACAAATACCTATAGTGACGATGGGTTAGCAAATCAGAAGATATAAAACGACACCGATCCTGAGGGGAAGGAACGCTGGAGCGTGTACAGAGTAGTCAAAGTGAATTCATCTGATTGGCTCCCGAACCGAGCCCCTGCGCCGGCCGTCTCCTCCCGCGACAACGATCGATGACGCATTCAAGTGCGACCCGACGACGCGTTCCAGACACAGGGAGACCACCAGTGTTTTGATTATTACCATCGCGTTGACTGCAATGTCGACAGCGGTACCGTTGGCTTGGAGGCGCCCTTGAATGTTCCAACCAATACTTCTGCACCATGAATAGCTCTAGAGCCGTCATGTCTCATGGCGAGCGTACGCGTTTATACAGCAGCGGTGGAGTGAAGGGGTCGAGGCACGAACGGTATATGACCGAAAACGCGTCGTTAAGAATCCCAGCTAACTATTGAAAGCACCACCAAGAACCCGACGAGCACAAGGTTTCGGGCGATGTCTACTATGACCTCTCCTCAGCCCAACACTGGGTCCGCTATCTAGCGGCATGATCGTACAACGACTGGGTTGGAGATGGATATTCTAGCCCATGGTAATAATGTGCTTCTTCAACATGCTCGTACACTGCTTCCTCCCTACGAAACTACGCGCCTTTGATCCTCAGCTGCAGGAGAGCGTAGTACGAGTAACAGACGGCGAAAACTCTCCGCACATCGTAGAAGTGGTACGGCAACAATGTACGGTAGCAACCATGGAACTGAATCTAACACCTAACAACGGAGCCGCCTAGAGCAAATGGGACAACGCCAGGTACTCTCATGATGACTGAAGATTAAGACAACGGAACGCTACGGAAAAAGAACGCTACTCCCTGGAGCGACCCCCAAATCTTCGTGCAGCCCAATATTGTAATAACAAATGGTTACCACGCTCTTCTCTTTGACACCACATACCATCTACACGAAAATGCAACTTGTCTGCCAGGATAAGTATGGCCTCCATATTGAAATGGTGGCCTCCTACGTTTTGGTCCTAGCCTGGGCCTTATTTGCAGTATGGTTCCTAGCTAGGAATAACTTAGCAATCATAGATGTTCTCAACTCGCGTATTCGCTTGCCTGCCCGCCCGCCTGCGCCGAACTTCTAAAGGAGTCTCTTGCTACTGTAGCATTGTTCTCTTACTCCTAATTCTACCTAAAATGTTGAGGAACAGTTGATACCCCCAGTAACCATTCGTTGTTACCTTTGCAGCGAAGAGTACTGCTCGCATATTTAGCACTACGATTGCTTGATAAGCTGAAAGATACCTGAAGTTTACTATAGGGCGATATCTCTTCCTCAAGTAACACCATGAAGGCGAGGACTCAATGAAAAGAAATAACCTTCTGTATGACACAGATCGAGTTAAGGGCAGGGCATTGCTCGCAGGCGGACCAGCCACCCTCACGAGAATAACCCAGCGGAACCCCGTGTGGTCAAAACCTGCGGTTCCGCCCTCCATACGTGTCGGGGAGGCGCATGCCGGCATGCACTTTGTTCCGAACCCACAGAACCTAACGAGCCAGCTCGTAAAGGAACCCAGTCGCCCCTCGACGAAACCGGCGCTAAGAGAGGCCAAGGACCACATGTCATGAATCCCAGGACATGACTCGACGGTGGAAGACCGCGGCCAGACCAGCTGAACCCACGGTTTCCACCAGCAGGGTCACGGCGCGCTCTATATACGCGCCATCTCCCGCTCGACCCAATAGCGGAGACGAAACATGACTTGCATGCTCGACTCTGATGCTTACATGCCCATGCTGGCGAGCGATGCCACCAAGGCGAGCCCGGAAGCAGCAGTGCTGACTACCTACTCATTCCAGGGTGCGGGTGTTGTCTGAAGGATTGAAGTTGTGATGTGAGTCAGAGACTCGATGTTGGTGCGACAAGGCGAGAAAGTGAGTGACTGCAGGCGGACCAGCCACCTTCGCAGTGTCACCATGGCAGTCATCTCAGCACGTCTAGCGTGTAGATGCTATCCGTCTCCGTGCTTTGAAGGGATGCTCCAAAGCGAGACACAGATCTCTCTGTATGACCAGGGCGGATGCTCCTGACGAAGACGTCGCTTGTTGCGTAGAGGTTTGTTGTTGTCCTGTGATATCGGGCGAGGACTGCACAATGGTTGCGTGCGAGGGCGAGAAAGGAAGCGATGTCTACTTGAGAGTCAGTAGAGAAGAGGGCCGCATGGTAGGGGAGAAAACAAGAAACAGAGGGTAAAGCTCGATACTTAAAGGCGCTGGTCTGATGAGCTTGGGCCACCACGCTAATGGTAGTCTAATCTGTGAGTCAAGTGGAGGATATCACGGTGAAAGAGAGGGAGCGGATCGCGGATTACGCGCAAAGAGGGCCCTGAAGGCCGTCACTGCGGCCTTCACTCGAAATTCGCTAAGCTCCCACAGCTATATTGCCTCGATATCAGTCTTTAATTAGGACGGAGCTGTGCCGTCAATATTTGGGTGTAGACCCGCGAAAACGATGCTTCCTGTAGAGAGAAATTCGAATGTCTAGTAGATCAGTATGGCTTCTAGCTTGTTACAATCTCCTCAGAGCATATGAACGCATCTGGGCGAAGATTTGACCGCGTGTATGCTTGTTTTCACGTGGAAACTGTAGAGAAAATGCGCGCTTTTAGTCGCGTCGGTGAAACAGCGCGTTTGCACTTCGCACGCTATAGCACTCTTTTGTATAGCATGGCGTGTTTTAAGGCTTCTCCTTCACCATGAATCTTCTCACACACTCAAGGTAGTCGTTTTAACCCTCGATTACGCCGTACGATTGAAGCTTCCCCAAAGCCTTCGCCGACCGAACAACCTCGAACCTTCATACGTACCATTTCGATACTATTTTCGGACGCCATACCCTCTCAATCCCTCCTCCGACGATCAAAATGCAGCGCGCAGAGTGGAATTTGCAGCCGTACGTCGGTTCTTTTGTGAACACCGAGGAAGACATCACGCTCGTGATAAGCTGCTGCAACTGGGGCAAACTTACGCTTACTATCTGGGGAACAACCGACGTCTTCACTATCCGCCCTTACAACTTCAGCTCATCTCTCTTCCCTCCGGACTTGTTCTACATCGGGGACTGCTGGCCTAAAGCCAGTGTCAACATGGTGTCCAAGAAAGTGACGCAAATGCACTTTAGCCAAGAAGGTGGACGAATCACCGGGTTCACCTGGGATTGCGATTCTGGGACTGGGAAACTGTACTTCGAGAGATCTGCTGCCGCCGAACTCCAAGGCCTTGCGAAGCCCATCTCTCCATTGCTTCGGCTCCCCGGAGAGCTCAGGAATAAGATCTATGGCTACTTGTTCATAGACGAAGTGTTGGAACTGGGAGCTCACGGCGATGGCATCCAATTCATACATCGACGAGAAGATCTAGCTAGTGGGCAGACAGTCCATACACTCGCAAGTGTGTGCCAGCAGTTACATCAGGAAACCCACGGTCTGCCTTTAACTACAGCCCGACTTGTTACCACTCGCCGGGACTTCCTCAAGCTCCTTGATCGCAAAGACGATCTCATAAACTGCCGAATGCGACAAGTCCGAATCGTGAGCGGCTTCGAGAACTTGGTGAAGAGTCGAAACATAGCCAGCATGTCCCCCATCATCGACTTCTGCCGTGAACATCCACACGTGGAGGTTCGCATCACGATTGGCGACTTTCGCTACAATCCTCACGATCCAGTAGCGTTTGTACGCACTGGCCTCATTATTCGACAAGCTTTCCGTGGGGACCATAAATTCGCCTTCAAACAAGACCAAAAGGCTGTGCTGGACTGGCGCAGAGGTCGCTTAGAGGCACAATTGAAAGTGCCCAAGTTGAAGATACTTGCGGCACCTGGAAAGGATTTTGAAGGCGTGCGTAAGTTCAAGAAGCGCCTGCGTGACATCCTCAAGAGCGGAAACCTCGAGATGAAGAAGATCCTGCGCTTATATGGGGGCGCACTCCACCGGCTTCTTGAGGATGTCTCGCAACCCTTCCTTGAAGGCATCTAGCAACATGGGTGTTATGGGGAGTTTTCTTTTAGAAGTAGTAGTATAGCTGAATATAAGCAAGACGGTCTTTGAGAATAAGTTTAAACTGCCCAACGTGCAACGTAGTCACTAAAGAGGATCTCTAAATAGAGACGTAGCCCTCGTGGTTCTACCGAAGGCCTCCCTACCATGGTTTTGGGTTAGTATCTTAGTACTGTGAACGTCTCCAGGCTATAGCATAAGGAGAGTACTTAGATTAAACGAGTCTCTTGTATGCGTATAGATAGATGTCTACGTGGCTAATCTAAACTCTATTAATTGCCTTGAAGATGGCCATACGATTCCTACCCTTCTTAGCCTTTTCCTACATATCTACGCACTGAATCGCCCTCAAAGCTGATAAGTAGCTAACAGTCTTCTAGATATTGTAATAAGCAGTAATTGACACCTGTAAAAACAGCTCAGAACCTTCTCGCTGTACTATAATATCACTCACTTCTAGCCGTAACATCCGCGAGTCTAGACAAGCCCCTACATTGGCAACTCTTTGATGCACTTAGTCAACCAAACTGTATACCTCCAGGGTACCGTTTGAGGAGATAGAAGATAGCTAAGAAAGTATCCGAGTACCGCCCGTGCGTGCTGTCATATCCACGAACGGGACGGCACGAGTAAGCGCCTCCATTCGACAAGTCAGAGCTGAAACGGGAGGCGCCGGACTATTGGTTGGTGGCTTGACGATCGGCACTTCGAGTACACACACACCTTCGTCACAACAGATAAAAAACCCTATTTCCCAATTATCTTGTTGCCTGGAACATGAATTTGACCATCAGCCGCACTGCCTAGATAGGCTGAAGTATTTGGTGCGGCTGTGCAAACTTCGAGTATGCTGTTTCGCTTACCCTTGTTCACTGCCACTGCCGCTTTCGCAAGCCCCTCTGCAGGTGTAGTTCGCCGACATGTACAGCCCTGTAGTCTGGGCGGTATACATTTATCTTGCTGTCGCCTCGAATTTCCATCTTACATATAATTCCTGGCTACGTTACGCGAGTAAATGGTATGTCCTTACATTGTTAAGCACTTCTTGAGGCTACACTTCGTTTCAACCCTACTGTCTATTCCGACCAGATAGATTCCACGATCCAAGCATGCAGACTACTCTCTCCTCCCCACAAGGCTCACGCAGCTCATCTTCAAGTGCCGCCTATCCATTCACATTCCGTTGTGCACCGCCTGGAAAGGAGTCAGAAGACCAAGGCGCGTCGAACACGCTATGCTACAACTGCGCGCAACTAGATCTAGAGCAGAGCTTCGCAAATGCATTTGAACTCTACGAAGGCGCTCGAAGAGGCATGATCGAAAGACGGCTTGCATCATGCCGGAAGGGCAACGGGCCGGTCTACCTCAAGGACTTTTACTTTGTTACGTCTCTTGGATCCCGCCTCTCTCAACCGAGGAACTGCAAATTGTGTAACTTCCTGGCACGAATGACTATCCAGCCATCGAAAGGAACATATAAATTGCTCGCATTTTGCAGCAGCGAGAGCTACTTATTCGAACCTCGCAAGAAGGATGTTCGTGCCCGTACCGTACGCAGACCATGGGAGGCAACTCGTTACAACACAGTGGAGGAACACGACATGGCCAATTCGGTCGAGCACAACGTCTTCATGGCTATCGTCCCCGAAATTTCTGGAATCCCCAAGACCGGAGTGCCGGTGCGATGGTTCGAAACTGACCTCCCGAGGAATGGGTCGATCTACCGCTTAACTGCTCCAGAATCAGACATTCATCGACTCGTTCTACCCCGAGAGTCTGGATCGCGCGCAGACTTTGGATTGATGCGTGCCTGGCTTACTCGCTGTCGCTGTCACCACATCAACTGTGCACGGCGTAAACCTGCTGGTGCTACGCTTCCAGGATTTCGTGTCATCGATTGCCGCAAAGAGCCTCCTGAGATCGTGAAACGGCCTTGGTCAGAGAGGTACGTTGCACTTAGCTATGTCTGGGGTCCACCATCTGGTGACTGGCCGCAGACGATTCTCGACGCTGTCGAGGTAACGAAGCGCTTGGGCGAGCGGTACCTGTGGGTGGATCGCACGTGCATCGATCAGTCGAATCTGGAAGAGAAAATGTTCCTGATATCCAAGATGGATGCGATTTATGAGGGCGCCGAGTTTACAATCGTTTGTGCGGCGGGTGACGCAAGGACGGGGCTACCGGGTGTAAACACGACGCCACGGAGACCACAGCCTTGGGTTGAATTGGAACAACGGAGCGAGAAAGCCAAAGGCAAGCGCGCTGCTCGGTTTGCTCCAGGTTCCATTGGAGAGATCATAGGTATCACCGAGGAGGAATACGAATTAGAGCGAGTGGGTGAGACGGAGTGGTTGGACGACCTTCGATTTGGGATGAGAGGAAAGATGGCGTTCGACTTTGGTGAACTGCTCGCAGACATTAAACTGAAGGAGAAGTATGATATACCCAGCAATCATCTCGCATGGTTCAAGGAGATGGCTGAGCACGATGGGCACGACCGTGTCGAGGATTACCTTGATATTCAGAAGGAGTTGGCCCGCCGCATAGGGATTCCTCTAAAAGGGATAGTCCCCTTCTTTAAGCGCGAGCTCGCAGAAAAGGAGGGTTGGGATCTGGATCCGTCAGAGTTGGATACCATGCCTATTTCTGAGCGACCCATGAAAGAATCATCTAGGCCGAAGAGGCCGCTACCTTCTAGCAAAACGGAAGGCAAGTTTACTCTAGTATCGTCCATGCAGGAGCCGAGAACGACGGTAAGAAACTCAGAATGGGCAACTCGCGGCTGGACCTATCAAGAAGGAGTGCTTTCAAACCGCCGCCTAGTCTTCACTGAAGAGCAGGTCTACTGGGAGTGTCGCGGTATGGCTGTCTGCGAGACAGTCGACATAGCTCTCAATGTTGTCCACGAGCCATCTGGAGGCCGTATGGCTAATTACATGTTGTCTGGAATCTTCGACAACGACTTACATCAGCCATCAGAATTGCCGTATGGATTTGATCCGCCGAAGAAAGAAGATATTGGAGATCAAGTAGTAGCCCTGGATGGACATATTCAGGCATTCACCTCGCGGAAGCTTACTAACGGTGATGACTCCCTGGCAGCCTTCATGGGTGTTGCTGCAAGCTACACGACGGATGCAGGATTGTACCTCTTACTTGGACTCCCAGTCTGGGCCGGCGCTTTTGCTAATGACAAGCCTGGACTGCAACACACCTTTGCTCTGTCTATCTCGAGCTGGACCCACGTTGCCGATCAAATCGAACCAGGAGCAGAAATGTACGTCGGCGACTGTCCTCGGAGAAGTCAGTTCCCGTCTTGGACTTGGGCAGGATGGCAAGGCTCCGTTGCATTCTGTAATCAGAAGCAGAGCAAAACCCACCGAATGGACGAGACTAATAAACATGTCGTCGTAGCCACATTGCTCCCTGGTCCTAAATCCATTGGCAAAGACGGTCATCACGATACTGCAGCTGTAGACCCATACCACAGTGACTATTTCAAGGCTCTCACGAGCAAAGAATGGGTCGACGGTATGCAACAGATCTGGTCGGCGGAGATGATGCTGCACGATACCGAAGGCACATACGCATCATTGTTGACGGGCTGGGCTCCAATACGAACGATAGGCGACCCTAGTATGACTTGGCTTCTCACCATCCACAAGCCGCTCGTTCTGCGACATCTGTATCTCATGCACTCGGCGGCCCAAGGCGAATGGCGGCGTTTGATGGGCAAAATCGTCAGTGTCCATCTCTCGATTCCAATAACGGAAGCTCAGCTTGTGGCAGACCATAAAACCGGGCATCTTGTGTTTGTGCTTGTATTTGCGAGCATGATTCCGTTCGTTTATAATGGTATTGCGCGGTACTTGATCCTGCGACGCGCGGACGAGGCCGATCGTTGGGAAAGAATTGGCCGCCTGAATATGTGGCTGACAGAGAAAGAGATGGACACCTTTAGGAAACCCGAGGATTTGATTGCTGCACTGCCGGTAAGGCCTTTTGGTAAGGACATTACCATTAGTTGAAGTGTCGTATTCGGGTGGAATGATGTGGAGTGGAAGGTTGATTGTCGCCGAGCACCCCGCCTCTAGGCAACTGCACTGCCCCAAAGGATTCAAGTGATCACGAATACCTTCGCAATCGGTTCGAAGCACTGAAACATCCCTTTACATGATGGAGTATGCAAGAAATAAAAGGATCAAGGAGAGCGAAAGGGATGCAAGGCTGAAAATGTACGTATGTCCATCTAAAATAAAAGACGGGAACTTATGAGCATCACAGTACACGCCGCAACCAACTCTCATCACCACTTCTCCGTCTACCAGGGGAAATCCGTCTCGAAATATACTCATACACCATCACCTGCAGTACTGCTCCCTTCCAACGGGAGCACATCACCTACAGGTACAACCCGAGACAAGGCTACCATCTCTCCATTGACAAAGACGAACAAGAACTTTTTTCAAACAGACAGGACGGGCAGGTATGGCGACACCTCTCTATCCTGAGGGTATGTCGCCAAACCCACGAGGAAGCCAGGCTGCTACCATTCAGCGAAAACACATTCTATTTCAACTCGCCGCGGCTGTTTAGCTTCCTGTCAAAGCTCAGCGATGAGCAGCGTAGCACGGTCAGAGGACTCGAGATGACGTTTGCGCTGGGTAGGAACGACCAGCTTTTGCTTGGACCGGCGACGGTGGGTAGCGTTGACTTTGTCAAGGCGTTGATGGAAATGGTAGGACTGAAGGCGCTGAAGTTTAATATTGAGTATATGGATGCAAGGGCTAGGACAGAAGATACGAGAGCACAACTTGGGAGAGGTCTTGAATGTGCTGTGGGTAGCTTGAGAAAATGGGTAAGGGAAGGCAAAGGCGAACAGTTGAAGGCGGTGATAGAGATTCGAGGTGTGCGTTCGGAGGACTTTGCTGGTTTGGAATGTGATGTTTAGCTGTATGCCCACAGTGAGGCGTCACTGGTCTATAGAAAGCTGCCGCTTGAAAAGCGATCGCTGAAACCCTTGGATTTACTGAGCATCTCCCTCCTCTGCTTATGATTGACCGTTCCGCTGACTGCCATGTCTTTCTCGTAGTCGAAGGCGCGCTTGCTCGGATCATCTTCCTTCTCCTTGCCCGTGCCCTTCTCCTGGTGCTGGTCCACGAGACTCTTTCCTCGCGCTGCGTCGATCTTCTCTCGGATTTTGCGCGCCCTCCGCTCCTCATCTTTGGTCTTTCTTGACTCTGTTGTGGTAGCTGCGGACGAGTTGGATGGTGGCACAATGCCCAAGGCCTCGTCCTGTAACCGCTTGAGCTTCTGCTCTGGCGTCTCAGTCCATGCGCTGCTCAGGCCGCCTGTGCCTCCAGCGCCTTTGCCCGTGTTGAACTTCCGTGCGCGCATCTTGGTCGGGTCCATGCGTGCTGCGAGATCGTCCTGCGTGGGAGGCATGGTCATCCAGTCGTCTCGTTGCGCTTTCTTCGGTGCTTCCGCGGTAAACTGCGGATCTGTGTCGAATGCCGATTTTGCTGGTCGATTGTCTCCATTGTTGTAACTTGTGTAGCTCACGCCAGCAGGAGGGGGCGCTGGCCCAAAGTCGTCATCGCTGCTGCTATCTGAGTCGTCGTCGGGTGGGTTTGACGGCCGTTGGTCGAGAGGCGCTGGCGGCGGGGCTGGTCCCACGACGCGCGCAGGCTTGGAGGCCTGTGGAGGTGCTGGACCAACATCGCTATCGGGGCTGGTTGATCGCGAAATTGCATCTGGTGGTAATGAAGGTCCTACTGTACGCGGAGGAGCTGGTCCTATAACTCTGCGGCGTTTGTCGCTGGCGTCTGGGCTCGATGTGCGGTCCTCGTCATGGTCGCGACTACGTTTGGATACGTTTGCAGGTAAGGCCGGTCCTATTGAAGGCATTGTAAGTGTTGTGCTGTGGGATGTTCTGTCTTTAGCAGCGTGATGCCTCTCTGAAAGGTGACGTTCGGTGGTGGAGCTTGTGCACGGCCTCAGTACCCCCAATGGCGCAAAGTGCGCCTTGGAGCTTGATACGCGCGCCATTCGCGAGAGCTCCCTGAAGCCTCCGTCTATTCTATCGAGAGATACCTCTTGATACCACCCAGCTCGCCCTCCCGATTTCGAATTCGCTCCTGGCGCGATCTCACTACGCCAAACCTTCCGCTCCGCAGGCACCTCTATCTCGTATCGCGCACCGTTGCCTGCCATCCCCGCACATCCGCCAATTTATACGAATAACGAAAGGCATGATATAGAAGAGCTGGGAAGAAGACGCCAAAAGATCGCAGGTCCGCCAATACAAGTCCGCGTGAAGCGATGCTTTGCCGAGTACGAGCCCCATGAGCTCAGATTCGGGAGAGAGCCACTCCAGTGCTCACGATGACTATGGAGACGAGATAGACATTGGGGGAGGCGCTGAGCATGCTTCACCCGAGGAAGCACATGCGACTGAAGCGAGTGCGGCCGGCGACTATTTTGCAGATGGGGTAGAAGGGGAGGAACTGGAGTCGGTGGGTAGCGGCGCCAATGGCTTGACTTTTGCCATAACGAGGAGTAGCTTCTCCCGGCAGGACGAAGAGGAAACAGCGTCACAGTTGTCAATAAGACCCAAGCTTGAGAGACCTGGAAGCCCTGAGTCGACATCCACACCAGATGATACCCCGTCGATACAGGTATGTACTGAACCTCTCAATGGACCTCATCTCTGACTATTGTAGGGCTCTGGCTTGTCCTCACCGGGCAGCAGTGTACCCGTCTCTCATAACTCCCTGCGACAACATCGACCGGCCTCCCTTCAACCATTTGAACGCCGGTTCTCCTCGCGCCTATCGCCCTCTCCACTAGCATCTCCTCGCGGAGCATCACCCGCCTTCCTTTCCCCACACTCACGGCAATCTTCCTTGTCGAGCAATCTGCTCTTTCGGCAGCTATCAGACGGAGATGGAGATAGTGCAGATACCCCACAGGCGCCATGGGAGGTCGTGCGGTGGACCAAGTTGAAGAAAATCACCGGGCAGGTCTTCTCCGAAGTGGGCAAGCGCAACTTTGGAAGGCCGACATGCCTTAATGTTACCGTCTCGCTTGCAATAGGAACTTCAAAGGGCTTCATTCTCGTATTTGATTACCAGCAGGTGCTCAAGTCCATCATCGGCCCTGGCACAAAAGGTATGCTCTGCGGGACCATCACACGATACTGAAATCTGACCACAATCGTAGCTGTTGAGTGCGGGGCGATAACCGCGCTTGCAATCTCTGCCGACCATTCGACTATCGCGGGTGGGCACGCTACAGGTCACATCTTCACATGGGAGTTGGCTAAACCGGCCAAACCATTCCTCCATATACCTCCACTGGAACGAGCGACTTTGGACAACAGGAAATCCGATGGCCATGTATCCGGTGTCGGAATCCTCCATTTGGGCTTTCTGGGCACGCGCCATACGGCTCTCGTCTCTGCGGACGATGGTGGCATGGCCTTTTCGCATCTCGCTACGCGTGGGCTGGGAGCTATCGCGAGGTCGGTGAAGACCACTCGAATTCTTGGAAGATACCCGCCGTCAGAAAAATCTCTTGAGAAGCCGCGGAAACCTAGTTCTGTGCTGGCGTTCTCCCCACTCCCTCTAGGGAACGTAGAGCAGCCGACGGATGGCATGGGTCTGACGGCTCTGTTGACCCCATATCTGCTTGTCATCGTTTCAACGACACCCGTGGCACAAACACAACACAAAGCGCCTCGGCCAAAGGACGTCACTCCTCACAGTGCACTGAGTGGATGTTTAGCATGGTTCCCAGCTGTGAAGCTGAAGAACCCTTCGAATGACCCGAGCAAGGCAATCTCGAAGACCAAGCTCGTATACTGCTGGTCCAATGTGCTGACCATCCTTGACGTGGACAGCGTTGTTGCTCCGCCCACAGAGAAGGAGAAGCCCACAGAGCTCCGGTTTCGACCGCGAAGTCGATGGAAAGCAGACGAGGCTATAGTTGCTGTGCAATGGCTCAGTAGGTCAGTGCTCGGAGTGCTGACAATCAGCCAGCGCTTGGTCATTCTCGAGGACAATACGCTGCGAATGACAGACTCGTTCGATCTGCTGCAGAAACACATATACCATTCAGACCTGTTTTCACGGCAGCTGAGGCCAGTAATAGAGCACCTAGACGAACAAGACACGTCGATGCATGGTGTCGTAGCAGACGCGTTCTACATGAGTTTCCGAGCCTACAAGGGTCGGCTGTTTCTGTTAGGCTTCAACGACGTTGCAATCGGTACCTTGTCTAATTGGGCGGACCGATTGATGGCGCTCATGGAAGATGGCGACTTTATAGCTGCCATTGGCCTGGCGACATCCTACTATGTCGGTGAGGCAGACAAATTGACAGTCGGCCTACCCGAGGATGACAAGGCACGACATGCCCTTGTTCAACAAAAGCTTCTCGAAATGATCGCCGCGTCTTTGAAGTACACCTTCTCACGAGAAGACGGCCATGACGAAGAAGCAAGACAAGAGCGCTTCAAAGAGCTTGCCGAGGTAGTCTTCACAGGACTGCTCAGTATGAAGGAACTCGACTTTCTATTCGAAGAAGTGTACGATGCTTTCGAAGAAGGTTCGGCTGAGAAGTCCTTCTTCGAGACTCTTGAGCCCTACATACTGGACGACGAAATCACCGCCGTACCACCAAGTGTCCTAAAGGACCTCATCACTTTCTATGCATCAGCTAACCGCGCAAGCCAACTTGAGGAGATGATTTGCCGGCTTAGTACTGACACGATGGACCTCAACCAAGTCACAACCCTCTGTCAGCAATACGTCTTGTACGACGCACTGATATACATTTGGACACGGGCGATTGGTGATTACATTACGCCACTGACCAACATTCTGGAACTCATCAAACTCGTGGATTTCGACGTAGATGAGACCGAGAACATCTACATGACCTCAGCGAAGAAGATTTTCCCCTACTTAGCATACACGTTCACGGGACGCGTCTACCCTGGTGGCATGCTCATGGAAGATGAGCAAGCTCATAGTGCAAAGAAGGATATGTACCGATTTCTATTCTCGGGTAAAATCTTGCAGTGGCCACCAGGGTCAGGTGATGTAGTTCTCACACGAACGGACAAAACCCAAGAGCCACCTTTTCCGTACTTGCAGCTCGTACTCGAGTTCGATGCATCGAGTTTCATGAGCATGCTCAATGAAGCCTTTGAAGATAGCTTCCTGAACGGAGACCAAGAAGCGACCAACGGAAGCCAAACCAACGGCACACAGCACGGCTCCGCTCTTACGCCCACTCGTCAGTACATCATCAACATCCTCTTCGGCATCATGACCGCCGAAAACTTCGACGTCGAGGACATCCTCTACTTCTACATGTTTATTGCACGGAACCTGCCAAAGTACCCTCAGCACATTATGCTCCCTGGAACTACGCTACACCAAGTTCTTGTTGGTCTCTGCCGCTACCCCACGGAGGTTATCAAAGAGGATTGTCAGCTTTCCGTGGAGTACTTGCTCTCGATGTACCACCCACCAAATCCTCAGAGCTTAGTGCCACTGTTCGAAAAGGCCGGATTTCACCGCGTGCTCAAGTCCGTCTATCGTGGCGCTCATCAGTATGCTAGGCTACTCGAGACTTATCTGGATGACACAGAAGACGAAGAAGCCGTGTTCGACTGCATTAGTGATGTTCTGCGACCGAGCAAAGGACTCATCAAGAAGCAAGTCAACGAAGTCAAAGCAGTCATCGTCAACCGTGCGACAGATCTGGCGGCTGTCGATGCTTCGCAAACTGCAGTAACACTCAAACAATATGCACCCGACCTTCTGAAATCGGTTCTGGAAGCCATTGAAGACGACTCAGACGCCCAGTATCGCTACCTAGAAGCACTTATTGAGCCCGAGCATGCGCAAAATCAGGCTGGCGAGCCGACATTGATCGACGAAAACCTTCCATCGGGCTTCATTGAACGCTATGTGCAGCTCATGTGCACTTACAACAGCGCCCATGTTGCAGACTTTGTCAGTATGCTCAAGTCGGGCGACTTGAAATTGGATCCGGTGCTTCCAGCATTGGAACAGAGTGGAGCTATCGACGCAGCGGTCATTCTTATGGCTCGCGATGGTTTAGTCAAGGATGCTATGGACCGTCTTGTGAAGCACTTGGGCACACTTGAGACTGCTTTGACGGGGCTGATAGGTGCAGCCGCGCAAAGTCCCGATGTCGCAAACACTGAGGAAGCGGTCCAGGATCTTCTCGAAGATATCCAGAAATATGTCAAAGTCGGTATATGGCTGTGCCAAGGACAGACGCGATCAAAAGACCGAAGGCCTGAGTCAGTTGACGACAGACGAAAGTCGGCGTACGGCGAAGTTCGCGAAGTTGACCTTGCGCTCGATGAGCTCCTCTGGCTTGACCTCGTCGACACATGTGTCCGGCTTATCAGGGACACGTCTAGCGCCGTTGCCGAGCTCGATGCAGCTGTCGCTTCACCAAACACAAGCCAGTCCGATATCATCGACGGTGCTCGCATAGTCTCTGCTCTCCGCTCTTCTGTCCAGCAGACGTTCTCCGCCCTTCTTGCGTCCACTACCATCCCACCGGCAAAGAAGGCTACCATGTCCAACAAGTCCCAATCCATCACGTCGCGTCCACCCCTCCGCCACACCCAATCGCAAACCCAAAGCAACCCCTCGTTCCTCCGCATCCTGCGCTGTTTCCTGACTCGGGCAACACATAGCTACTCACCCTCCCTATCACATCTGCGCTCTGTTCTCGCAGAGGTTTTCGCGGCTTACACTTTCGAAGAGACCATTCTCAGCCTGGCGAACCGATTTCTCGATAAGGAGAGCTTCGAGCACGTCAACGAGATAACACAGCTGAGGAGACATGGGTGGCGACCAAGAGGTCAGGTGTGTGAAGGGTGCAAGAAGAGAGCGTGGGGTCCGGGTGCAGGGTTGGGGAGTGGGATCTGGGAGGCATGGGAGCGGGGTGAATCAGAGAGGATTCGGAGGAGGGTTGAGGATTCTAGTGGGACGGACGACGAGGTTGGCGGGAAAGGCAAAGGAAAGAGACCTAGTCGGGATGAGATCAGCGTTGATCCTGAGGAAGAAGCGAGTGATGGGGCAGGTGTCCTAGTGTTGTTTGCTTGTCGACACCTCTGGCACAAACAGTGCGTGGAAAAAGCGAGTGTCACGGAGGGCAGCGGGGGAGAAGAGGGCGCAAGAACGCAAGGAAGATTAAGGTGTCCACTTTGTAGATAGCTGTCTTCATGTATATATTGGTACGACTAATACGGTTACTTTTGTTGATAGGACTTTACCAAGAGATGCCAATTTTGGAGGCGTCACTTAATTTCCGCCAAGTTATAGCCTGTTGTGACGACTATCGAAAGCGAAGGGAAGATACCCTCATATGTAAGTAACCCGAAGCAACTCATCGGGATCTACGACACTCTCCCACGGTCATCCACGAAGGAGGTACCCATCCTCTCTCTCCAAGGTCCGGTCTCGTATCCCGCTCCGTGGTCTAGCTCGTGCCCGACGACCTAGGCTCAGCATTTTCCCACTCCAGCTACCTTGCATATGCTAGCTAGCCATCAACGCTAATTTCACGCTGTTTTCCCAACTGCGGGATTTCCAGTGCATTTGCATTAGCTAGTCGGTCGACCTGGATGCTGTCGAACCATTCTAGCGGAACGCCTTTGCTGGTTAAGACGCTCAACAGTGCGATTGAGGCGACGGGCGATCGCCCGTGTGTATCTCTGCGCTGTGCTTGGGCTGACGTCCATGAGCCAACGACGATTATCTAAGCGTTGAGAGGTTCAATTTCCTCTCGTATTCGCGTCGAAAGGAATTCCCAGGCACCGACCACCCAGTGAAACAGAAACAACGGGGGCACAGAAAAGGGCCTAGTCTATACCAAGTTTTCTCGCTCTCTCCGGGCCCCTCCGCAAAATGAAGCAGGAAGCCCGAACCCACTAATCCCCCTTTTCTCCATCTGGGCAGCCCTCCAGCGGAGCCTGGTTTGTCGCTCTGTGGAGAAGTGACGCAATGTGGAGCGATTTGCCTCGGCAGCTGGCTAACTTGATGGAGTGGCCAAGGGCGATCCCGCCGGCGATAAGCGATGAGACGAAAGCGCTCATACATCGCAACTCTATTCGACGGTGTGCGTCACTTACTTGGTCGCAAGCATCATCATCTCGCGGCGTGGTCGATAAGCGCAACGCCTCCCAGATTGATGGGATGGTGGTGGGTGACTGGCGCATAAGCAGCAGCAGGTCGCTATCTTCAATTACGTCGCGCGCTTTTTCACTTCCTGCGACAAAGTCTGCGCCCAAGCCAATTTGTGTGGGTCTCTTGGAACGGGCCCCCGGGGCACTAAGACGCAAAGGGCCGAGTAGTCATGCGACGTTAATTTGCGGACGGGCTGGGTCCACACACCAACTGTGTGATGGTTGCCCAGTTAGAGAGGCTGGAAGACGGACCAGTCGAATGGGGGTCATCTTTGAGTTTCTTTGCTGTGGTGGCGTGTTGGAAAATGCAACGAGGCGCTCTTTTGTGCTACATGTTTTTGTAGATCCGAGGCCTCGACCTGGTTCATGGACGCGTGGATGGGTTGTGAATGCGCTTCGGGGTGGCTGGTGCGAGAGTTCAACAAGATAAGATATCTGTGGTTTGGGGGACCTGTCCAATGGACTCGAGTCGTGTTGCTGTGGGGGTGTAGAGAATATGACGTCGTTCATGGACAGCACCGCAAGAAGGCGACCTATGGAGGCCTGGGGCACAACACCAATGTCAGGTACTGGTGTATCTGCAGCGTACTAGAATAGGATTGATACACATTCTATTAGACTATAAATCGAATTGACGTTTGATCGCGTGAACAATGGCTGAACTAGGTTTGCTTGACCAAAAGGCTATCGGCTTCCCTCCCGAGTCTAACAGTGGCCTTACACCCACACACCTTAGGATAGACATCTACCATTGTTTCACCTGGGATCTACCCCCCCTCCAAAGGAATGTATCAGGCTATTTCATAAAGATAGTCGTAGCCAACTGCGATAAGAAGCGTGGAGAGTGTGGACCAGAGTACAGCTCACGTTGGGGGTCTCTGCGCTCGGATCAAGTCGGTATCTGTTTTTACGCTATCCGATTGTCAAGAGAAGGACAGTAAGCACCAAAGTCGCCGAGCCAGGTGTTGAGAAGGCAATACGAGCTGTAGGATGGCCTAGGATTCATCGAGGTACTGTAAACGAGCGACCATTTTACAGATATTAGCCGCGTCCCAAATCATTACGTGAAACTGCCGAATCGGGTGGCTAAGCCTTGAGGCACATTTCGCCAAGTCATGTACGAGAGGAACACCCCGGGTGAGGCTGAATCCATCGTGAGGCTCTGTCCGCGTAGAATAGCACGCAAGCAGTGCGGGGAATCACGTGGCTGACTCCATTCCCAGGTCACTCGCGACCACCCCATTACGAAATGGTTTGCTGCCTCCAACCGAGCTAAAGGGCTTCTGCGACGCACTTTGACACATAATATCTGGGGTATTCTCCAGTCTCACCTTTTCCCCAGACTCCACTGCGCTTCCGTCTTGAACCGGACGTCGTTCTGACTTTCCTAGTTGGTGGTTTTGCGCTCTCCCAGCCGCCCTTGCACCGGTAGCTACAGTGGAACTGCTACAATTCAGTGGACCTTTGCGCCCGTGGCGTACAGCCACTCTTATCCGTAGCGCATTGCTGCTAGTCGTTCAGGATGCGGTTTCTCGGTGTCGCGTTGGTCGTATCGTTACCAGACGATGACATTCTCCAGGGATTCCACTGCCTTTACCCGCGACGAACAGCGCATGTCGATGGATAGGTAACGAACACTGCGTCATTTTTGAGGCTTCCCCGCATACCCTGTCCCGGATTTTCCGCGGGCGCCACATGATTCGGTCCTTTATTCGGTCCTTGGGTGAGCCGCACGGGCCTTGAGACATCGGGAGCCCTCCCGATGACGCTCGGATTTGGAGTCTTATCTTACAGGGACTAGGGCCCCCAACTTACTCGTGGCAAAGTTGCGCAGAGGTGCGCTTGGTCTGTGAGTTCCTGGGTGACCTAGCAGCTACTACTAGCACCTACCGCCATGTAAATAGGTCGTCATTCCCCTGGGAATTGTTTCCTTCCTCCACGCCTCGTCTGCTCTTCGACAGCAGGTCCCCTTGACATTCATACACACGGTAGTCGAGCTATTGTGACTTTATTTCAGACCTCCATGCATCACTAGCCCCTACAGGCTTCCTCCATTCTAGTAGCCTCGCAATTCGTTTCTGAAGCTTTTTCCGTGTTCGCCCAAAATGACTGGTTTCAATAACGACCACGAGAAGATGGACGAGAAGAAGGTCGACGAGGAGAACGGTCTTCATGCCGTCAATTCGCAGAGACGCGCCTCGTTCAGCGATGCTGTCTTTGGAGAAATCACCGAAGAAGGCCCCAACTACCGCGCTGTATGCTTTCATGTGGATCCACGTTGATCCGAGGATAAGCTAATACTGTTTAGGTCGGCTGGAAGGGAACTACTGTTTTGATGTTGAAGACGCAGATTGGCTTGGGTGTGCTTTCGATTCCTCAAGTCTTCCATTCCCTCGGATTGGTCCCAGGTGTCATCTGTCTGTTGATCATTGCTGTAATGACCAGCTGGTCCAATTACATCGTCGGTGTCTTCAAGATTCGTCACCCTGATGTGTACGGTATTGATGATGTTGGCCGGAAGCTCTTTGGCCGTATTGGCTATGAGTTCTTCGGTATCACCTTCGCCCTCTGTAAGTCGTCTCCATACCTTAAATAGGATTTTACTGATCGTGGGTAGACTGGATCTTTGTCGCCGGCTCTGGAATGCTGGGAATAGCCACCGCCCTGAATGCTCTCTCGTCCCACGGTGCCTGCACTGCCGTCTTCGTCGCTGTCGCCACCATCGTTGGCTTCAGTCTGGGCAGCATCCAGACCCTCGGACGCATCTCTTGGCTTGCGTGGATCGGAGTAGTCAGTATCCTTGTAGCGAGTAAGTCATGCCCTAACTTTCTGAAGAATTTATCAGAACTAATTGTTGTGTCTAGTCTTGACTTTGACCGTATCAGTTGGTGTTCAAGAGCGCCCTGCTGCAGCTCCTATAACACCTGGACCATGGAAGTCCGACTATGCCATCACCCAGAAGCCGAAACCAGCCGAAGCTTTTGCGGCTCTGTCATCCCTCGTCTTCGCCTATGCTGGAACTCCAGCCTTCTTCAACATCGTTTCCGAGATGCGCGAACCCCGCCATTACACTCGCGCATTGATCTTGTGCCAGTCCATCATGACCGCCGTCTATATCGCGATTGGTGTTGTTGTCTACTATTTCTGCGGATCTTACGTCGCTTCCCCCGCCCTCGGATCTGCGGGTAAGATGATGAAGAAGGTGTGCTACGGACTTGCTCTGCCGGGTCTGATTGTCAGCACCACGCTGTTCGTTCACGTAAGTACCGCGTTCTTGAGAAAGAGAAAGAGTACAGCTAACAATTGGATTAGTTTGCCGCAAAGTACTTCTTCATGCGCATCCTCCGCGGCTCCCAGCATCTCACCCGAAACACCAAGACGCACTGGATCACCTGGATTGGATGCACGGCCGGCAACTCGCTCGTCGCCTACATCGTCGCCAGCGCCATTCCCGTCTTCGGCGGACTCGTTTCCCTCGTCGGTGCGCTTCTCGGTACCCTCATGTGCATGCAGCCCATGGGATGCATGTGGCTCTACGACCATTGGCGCGAGGCCAGGACCCCCAAGTGGATGTTCATGGTTGGCTGGTGCGCCTTTATGATCACGGCTGGTTGGTTCTTGACCATTGCTGGTACCTACGGATCCATCGTCGGTATCATGGACAGCTACAAAGCCTCGGGTGGCTCTGCCGCCTGGACTTGTGCCGATAACTCGAACTCGTCATAGAAGCTCCATTTTTCCGGTGCTCCGTCGCCTTTGCGGCGTAAGATTGGATTTCTTTTTTTATACCATGAGCATGTCGGCGAATAAATGCACCGGCGTACAGCACGGGCATTGGGGTTTCCGCTTTTATGAGGCATATTCTCTTCTTAGCTAGAGTTTGAAATGGTCACAAGAACATTACGAATGAACTGCGAAGCTTCTCTCTGCCTTGAATGTGATGAAGTTGAGCTACTCGTTCTGTTTGATTCACAGCAGCACGTGACAGCGGTGTGGTATGCCATTAGATAACAGGCGCAGGATCTAAACCGCATGTACTTCGACGAGAGAATATTTTAGTTAGAGTGTAATCTCGTCACGAGGCTAGTCGGAGCGGTCCGCAAATAGTGCTAACGTTCTTTTGGCTGTACAAACGACATGGGGAGATCACTCTACTAGTCTCTACACTACATTTGCAGATGCAAGTTGGAGTGGTACATGTGGCATGGCAGCACACCCTCATTTGTTCCATCTCAATTCTCGTGCACGATCATTTGTGCTTTCCTGTTGACCAGGCTGTGTACGCATCGTCCCTCCAACAACACCACCAGATGACACCTGCCACTTCCAGGCCGGGAAACACTAAGTCGATATGAATGGCTGTTTTAGCGGTCACATGAGGAGGTATCTACGCATAAAGAGCAAGAATAAAGCTCAACTATATTAATACTAGTTAGTTGTGTATGCCATCTGCGGAACTTCATCTCGTTAGATACACCCAAGATTCCTGCTATTCGCGCTAACCGCCTTCTCATTTAGTCTTCAGTACCCTATCAAGTACACGGTACCTGAACACCCAGCTTCTTGCCTTTTTGCCGAAAATATACATGGGAATAGTCGTTAACGTCACAGCCACGGTGGTACCGCCAATGACGTAGAAACAGTTCCTTACCCCTTGCACGACGATCCAGTCATTTGCGTAGAAGGTCAAGCCGAACGCAAACATGTTCTTGATGAAATTCATGATAGCAAAAGCTTCGGCCGATTGCTCGCGGTGGCAGTCCGTGACGTACGTAACCACAGATGTCGTTCCCAACTGAACGCCGAAATTAATCAACCCCATACAGACGATTACTGGAATCGGCCAAGGCTCCCTCTTGTACAAGCTCTGGCCCCATGCGAAGAAACCAGTAGCTGTGAATATTAGGTAAGTGGCCATAACTGGTAGCCGGAATTCGGGTTCTGCACAGTTAGTAAGAGTGATAGTAGACGAACGAGTCTGACTGACCGAAGATTCCGTTGTTGCGTTTCGCCATGTACTTTGCAACACCGTCGATGACCGTTCCAGCGACCAGTGTGGCTAGCACTGATGCGACAAAAGACGAAACATTAGTCGCACCAACTGCGCTGACAGAGAAGTTGTATGGTGGTGCTGAAAAGATTTGCGACAGTGTGATGGAGATCAACACAAGCCAGGAGATGCAAATGGTGAAGAGAAGCGTTGCCCACATAACGATTGGGGACAGAATGAGGACAAATGGGCGCAGGAGGGTTCTCCAAAATGAAACGTGGTCCCAATAGCCAGACCATGGAAGAAGATCTTGCATGAACGTCTTTCGTGGTGCTGATGACTCGCTTGCAGCTGGTCGATCCTCGATATGCTCCGCGAACTGCTTCTCGGATATGCCAGTGTCGACTGTCTTGTCGCTGGTGTCGATGTTGAGCGCGTCATGTCGCGAGAACGCAGATTCGGGCATGAGAAATACGACGAGAAGAAGCATCAGCACGAAAGCTCCGCCCATGCCATGCATAGCTATGCGGTAGGAGCCAGTTTGGATAACGGATCCGGCTATAGTAATGAGTATTGCAACAGTGAATTTTAGATTTCACGCTTACCAATTGGCCCGGCAAGGTTCTGTGTGATCAGATCAGCTCATTGTATTGCATTTGCGGGAGACTCTTGCGACTTACGATACCGCCTAGCACACCCAGGTTGAAGATGGCCATTCTGAAACCACGCTCATGAACATGCCATATGTCTGCGACGGAAGCTGGAATCAATGCCTCGAAAGGAGCTGCATCTGTGTTAGAGAGTTTTGGAGTGGTGATCCATCTAACGTACCCATACAGAAGCCCTGGATGGTCCTTGCTGCTGCCAATGACCCAAAACTCTTGACTTCTGCAGCCCAGAAGCACGATATCGCCAGCCCAAGTGTGGTCAGAAGGTAGATGGGTCGCTTTCCGACTTTGACAGCCAACGTGTTGCATAGCAGACTGCCGGCGGCAATCGCAACAATACAGGCTCCATTGCAGCCTGGGAACCGTCAGCTCGCCATCGTTGATTGTACTTGCTTTTTTACCTAATGTGAAGCGTTGGAGTGGTACTCCGAATTGAGCAGCTAGCGGCACGAACGCTGGTGTCAACAGTGGTCCAACAGCTATTCATCATCAGCGTAGGTACGGCATGCGAAAAGATGGGCAACTAACCTCCTACACAGCCGCAACCATATGCGATGACAACTGTGAACAATTCCTTCTTCCACCTTGGCCAATTGTATGGATCGTTCGGGGAGTCCGAAGGCTGTGGTATAAGGACAATCTGCCCAGTTGCATCGTGCTTGAGCAGGCCTTGGTCGATACCAGGCGCGACCTCGAGATCAGTCCGGCCCAATTCACTGAGTGGCGCTGTGCCCGGAACATGTTCGAGTTTCGTATCGTCCAGGATTCCTAACGGCATGATTACGTCTTTCGTGCGTACGACTGGTATCGAGCAATATGCGAAATTGAATCTGTTGCCGGTAGCGACGATGTTCCTACATTGGAGGCTAAAATGTGGGGGAGGCCCCATGTCTCCAACAGTACAGGGGTGAAACGTCTGGCGTGCGGGGAAGTGTTTGCGGGGTTGCCTTACATAAAACTTAGTAATTCACTGATCGACACTATTCACGGCATTGCATTTCATAAACATGTTTGTGAGTGAGAAACACGTGACGCTTGACCGAGGGACGCTCGGGTTACCAAGGTTGGTCAAAACAGAGAGGCGTTTGAACTAATACTACTTCGAGCACACTGTGATATCTGATCTGATTGATCCAGAAAGCTTGATCAACCTGGTTGGTGGTCTCAACCCGGTGGTCTGGAATCGAATACGATTGCAGGAGCTTCCCGTATGGACATCTACCCGTTTATGCGCGTATATCGATGCTTAATCATTCCCCGCCACAATGATCACTCGAATATGGATCAAATCCTTCGTCTACGCTTCGCGGCTTGTAGGCGTATAACCAGCAACAGGGTGCCAAATACAGTTGATTATCAACTCGATTTGTTTTAGCCACAGTATCGTTCGGATCCATGATCCCGCCTCCCCCCTTCACTATTTTGTGCGAAGAGCTGTGAGCACGGGTCTGACACACGCTAATGTAGTGGGTAAGGAGGCGCACTACTGCGATACCTCAGGCAAACCTTGGCTTTCTCTTTATTAAACGATCTAACGCTTCGTGTTCCACAATCTCCCGCTCGCGAGGTGATTCTGCGGGTCAAAATGTCTCTTAAATAGGACAGCCTTGTCGGTTCTAAAGTATACCGTGGGTCAATCGTTCTTATGCCTTCTCTGTACCATCCATCCACGCTGGCACGACATAAGGCCGATTCGGCTGTTGGCATTCAGGGTTAAGCACCGTTGCTTTTAGTCATGTCATAGGTACTTATAAATATTAGCAAGGTGCTAGGCTGCACGTTGAGCTTCAAACAGTAGAATTGGATATTAATCTAATCCTTGAAGGTGATAATGCATGAGAGGGCATAGTTCCTAAGGAAAAAGTCACCATCAAGCTCGATACACCTTCAAGGATAACCCAACTAGCTCTCTGTGCTACACTTGATCAGCCAGATGGTGGCTGACGGGTGCTAACATCACAGTCTCAAGGGTCGGTGCTTCGCTGGTATGTCGCTCTTCAGTACTTCTATCTGGCTCGATGCTCCCAGAATTGCTCAAAGGTGGTCCCCATATTTCCCTCAACGAACAAACTGACATAAGCCTCAAACTCATCTGTGTCGGGTTCGTTAAACATAGCGTGTCAAAAAAGACCCTAGAGCCCTTTGGAATATTCCCGCGTCTTGAGAAAAAACTAGGCTCCCCATTCTCATCCTCGTAAGAGTGGGATCCATCAACATCAACCCCAACGAACTTTGTGCCGTCCTCTAGCTCTGTTGGTTGTGTGTACATTTCGTCCTCGCATTTGTAAATCGTCTTTGTTGGCATTTAGGAACGCGTGAACTTGAGTGACGAAGTCGCTAACCAAGATAGTAGAACCATCGTACTTTTCGATGACTGTCGGCTCTGGTGGCTGGTATCGATATTCCTCTTCATCAGTCTCATCCATGCAGTGCTTCTGTTGACATCTATTGATGTGTATAGAAATCCTAGAGACAAGGCGGGTCTGCTAAGCTCTCAAGTGCGATAGCATGGTTCAGGAGAGGAGTAAGCGTTTCGCCGTCGCGCACAGCAATATCGCTCAGAGGACCGAAAATGTTCCAGTGCAATCGATCCAGGATATCCTGCCGGATTCGGTCCGGGCTTTGATGGCACTTCACCGCCGTGGGGAGATCAAGATCCATTGCGAGGGAATAAAGGCTCGCGAGTGGATAGTAGCGTGTGATGTGGAAAGGTGTTCGTCAATAAGGTTTTAGCGTAGGCGAAAGTGGCTCGAGCGCATCACGTACGCTTGCCAAGCTCACTTCGAGTATTACGGTACTGCCTACGCCAAAGCGCGCGTTAGTCTGTTGGTCAGAAGTATTTCTTACCTGCGGTATGAACGGACTGGGCCAATGTGCCGTCCGATGATCGAACATTGGGTAATATCAATACTCGAGCCGTTCAAGAATGAATGGCAAGGAAGCTGGGATGGAGGAATTAGAAGGAAGCTACGGAGACAAAATGTATGAGCCGGAAGGAAGGTGGTCGCGATTTTATGTTAGTGTAATAAGCTGCAGATAGGGTGCATTCGGTCTGCCCTTTAGTATAGTGTAGTTCTCTATGATGCTAGTCGGAAATAAACTTAGTTCCGCCTTCGCTCAACGTTGACAAAACCCCAAAGTCAACGAACCCACCTAACAGCCGGTTCTTATCTTCCGAAAACCGTATTCATATCCACTCTATGTACCCCAGATGCGAGTATCAGGGCACCAGCACGTGCGCATGTGGGCCAAGCGGAGTCGCAAAGGCCGTTGTCGGAGATTGTTGTATTTTGCCGATGGAGGTGGGCGACAGACGGCCGATCGATAGGCTTAGCTGGGGTTTGGCAGTGGCAATTCGATCAACAAATGCGCTGGGGCGCAAGGAAATAAGTATTCGGATCGTAAGCTTCGGAGTTGGTTTGTTCATTCATCGCTGGATTTCGCTCCGGTTCTGAGTTTACAATTGTTCGAAGATTGTTGGTGTCGCATCGAGATGGGATCAATGCCAGAGACGAACGCTTCTGGCGGAATGCCGACGGTAAGCCTCGAGGACTGCAATGGTTACGTTTAACGTGCTGATTCGATGTTGTAGAGTTGGACTCGTTTGGTACGATTTATTGCAGCTGAAGACAGTGCCGAGTACATCGGAGAGCCTGTTGACGCGAAGATTGATGGTACGATTCTAATGCTGGTGGTGTCGCGTGCCCTAACTAACAATTCCTAGTTGGCGCAGCGCTCGCATCAGGATCAACTGTCCAAGTTCGTGCTTTTACCGGCACTTCAGTCTTGTCATCAGACGTCCAGCCAACATCCAAAATCCTCGCCATCTCCCGGCTACTCCCACCACTCTCCAAATCACAAATTGGCACTATTCGCTGTATCGGACTAAACTACCGCAAACATGCAAAGGAGATGAACTTGGAACTTCCGAATCATCCAACTCTTTTCTTCAAGCCGTCAACCTGCCTCGGTTCGCCTAATGCTCCTTTGATCATCCCGCATCAAGCAACGGATGGCCAAGCAGACTACGAGGCGGAGCTTGCTATTGTGATTGGAAAGGCCGCGAAGAATGTAAACAAGGAAGATGCGATGGACTACGTGCTCGGTTACACGTGCTCCAACGATGTTACAGCGCGAGTCCATCAGTTTAATGGCGCGCAATGGGGCTTCGGAAAAGGATTTGATGGTTTCGCTCCTCTTGGGCCCTGCCTCGTGTCCGCTTCATCAATACCAACCCCTGGCGACATTGAACTGAAGACGGTGCTGAACGAAGAGACTATGCAGTACTCACTCGCCAACGACATGATCTTCAGCATTCCGGAGATTGTTGCATATCTCAGTCAAGGGACAACGCTGGAACCGGGTACGGTTATCATGACCGGCACGCCGCATGGTATTGGCGTGAGCAAGGTACCGAAGGTCTTCTTGAAGCCTGGAGATGATCTGAGAATTGTGATGAGCCACGGGATGGGAAGCTTGGTCACACCAGTGGAGTATGAAGAGGCGCCCAAGTCCAGGTAGTACAGTTGTATATATAATAAATCAACGCGTGTAAGGATTGCAGCTTCACTGGAGACCAAACAGCATCTGATCCTGCGTGATGCTATCTAGTACATGCTCCCATTGTTGTAAGTCGGTCGGCTCGAAGAGTGGAAATGCTGGATCGCCCCATGGTGCTTGCCATTGGAACGGTCCCCCAGCTGCCGCCAGGTGTGGAAGTCCAGGAATCGTTTCAGAGCTGAGATCGGTGTTGGGGGACGTGAAGGCATTCATACCATGGTTTGACGCGTTTGGGGCTGCTTCAGGTGCCTGTAGATGCTCGTATCTGGGATCGTTTGAAGCGGTATCAGCTGAAGGCTCGGCTGCACTCGTTGCACGGTTAGCGCGAAATTGAGTAGCTTTCTTAATGCAAAGCTCGACTATTTTTACTTCAGCAAGCGCAAACTCGTTCAGCCAGATGTCATCCCGTTGCATATCGCAGTATGCGGTGAGGTCTTCAAGGATGGCATGACATCTGCGCGAGTGCGGGTCTTTAACGGCGATGATTCCGAGGACGAGCGCACTGTTGAATAGGTGATGAGGGCCTAATGTCCATTTAAGGCGATCGTGAAGCGGTTGCTGAAAGTAGTCGATGCGCATTGCGAGGTCGGCGCAAGCAGACGATATGCATGCGTCGTGGCTATGTCTGAAGCGATTCGTGATGCTTTGGCGAAGGAGATAGGGTCGATGGAGTGTCACTCGTGCAAAGTGGTACATGGAGTGAAGATGAAGCCGATTCCAATATAAGAATGGGTGCAGCTGATCCCTTGACATATCTGGGTCGCTCAGGTGGTAATAGTCGGGAAGCTTAGCCTCCCAATCTAGAATATCACGATCCAGTGAGAGTACGGTGTCGTAGGAGACGGTGAAAAGGCCGAAGCAGCGTTCTTGTATGTTTCCTACGATCTTTGCAAGGTCATGGGCGAGGAAATTGAAGACGCTGAGCGTCGGTTCCGAAAGTGGAAGCTCTGGAATAGTCGCAGCCTGCTCATCGCTCTCGTCGTCCAGCCATACGTTAGTAGCGCGTTTGACGAGGCACTGCTGATCAACGATTGCGAAAGGACGACCTATGGCAAGAGCGATGGTTTTGTCCAGCATGTATAGGTGACTCCAGAGGCGCCTTCGCGTTTCGGTCTCCTTGCGAGGCAGTCGCCAACGTTCGCCATCAATGTGTATGCCCTGTGCTTGGGCCATGCGCATAGCAAAGCTTGTCGTCAGCCATGCTTCTGGCACTCGTCGCAAGTGGATGAGATAGCGAGTGACTAGCACGCCAGCTCGCACAAGGTCGGTGGACTCGCCATAAAAGGTTGGCGCAATGACAATGGCTCGACGTGAGGCCCAGTAAAAGCGCAACGATGTTTCTTGCAACTCGCGTTGCACCTCGCCGTTCTTCGGGTACGGGCAGTCCAGGAAGACGCCGTACGCGAGAATGATGAACAATAACGCCAGCCACCGGAGGTCGATAGACGCAAAGTCATCAAAGCCAAACTTCCTCTCCCAAAACTCGTCGTATTTGGCTTTGAAAGACGTGGGGTTCACAGCGTCAATGGCCCAGTTCAGTTCTGAGAGGAATACGTCAACGAGGCGGTCGACGCTGGCTTTGTTACGGGGCAACAAGCCAAGCAAATCCCATATCTGGGAGAAAGGACCGCCGACGTCGCGGAAAGAATGGGTTGATGCTGCGGCATGGCGAATTCCAGATGAAAGGTCCGGTGCCGGAGCTTCAATGATTTTGGCTGCTGCTTGGGGGCCGAAGTAGGACGACCCGAAGAACGAGGGCGCATCTCGACTCTTGAAGAGGTTGCCAACAAGGGCGTCTCTCGATTCAGGCGACGCTCTGCCACTTGACCTGTGTCGTTCTGAGCGTTCTGAGCGTTCAGGGGCTGTAGTATCTCCTGCAGCACTTTCTGGCGCATCATGTTGCCCAGCCAGCGGTGTCTTGGGGCCATCCCCTGGCTCGCTTGTCGAGGGAATCATGGAAGTCTGGCGTCGATGCGCCTCGGCCTCTTCGGTATATATTACGTGAACGCCAAGGAAGGATAGTCCGTGCCAAAATAGGGTATATTATTCACCTAGCAGCTAGTTTAGCTTAATAAAACTTATAAATACAAATTATTACTTTTATATTATAATAAATTAGTAGCTAAAATATTTAATAATTTTTATATTTTTTATAATTTTAGTATAGCTAACCGCAATTTGCGCAGCCTTAAAATTAAAATAACATTTTAATTTTATATTACTAGAAACTTTATACTTTAATATAACTAATTTTAAATTAAATTTTAAAATTAAATATATAACTATATTTTATTACGCACTTAGCAAGCAGCATTATAAAAACTTTATAATTTATATAGTAATTATACTTCTGTAAAAATATATTTAATACTATTACTAAAATATTAGCTTACTATAATAAATAAATATTGTACTAGTATAGCTACTAGAAATTACTAAGTACAGTAAGTATTTTTTTAAAAAAACTTTAAAAACAGCAATATAATAACTTTAAACTTTAATTAGTTTTTATTAGTATAATTATAGTTTACTATTAATTAAATAAAAATTTTTATAAAAGTTAATATTTAGCTTATTTAGCAACTTACAAACTTTTTTTATTATTTATAAAACTATAGTTTAGTAAAAAAAAAAAACTAATAAATACTAGGCAATTATATAACTATATTTAGAATTTTTACTATTTATTTTTTTTTTACTTTTTAAAACGTACCCGCAAAAATTCCTAATTTAGTAATATTTTTATTATAAAAATTAAATATTTTTAGAATATTACTATTTAAAGTTAAAATCCGGCAGTACTTTATTAAGTATATTAAAAATAGCAAATTTACTAAATTTTACTAAAGTATTTTTTATTATTACTATTTTTTTTTGCTTTTTATTACTTTTTTTTATTTAAAAAGACATACACTGCACAGTATTAACTTAATTATATTTTTTTTTTATTAAAATAGCCTGCTATATTAATTAATAGCAATTGCTCTAATATTATAGCTTTTACTATAGTTTATAGCTTATAGCTTTTATTAGCCTAATTAGCTAGATAATAATTAGGCGGCCCTACTTTATATTGCAGTACTTTTTTTTAAAATTTACTAAAAATACTATTATACATGCTTATAATCTTGTAGCTTATTTAAATAATTTATTAAAATATTGCTTTTTTATACTTATTAAAGTATTTAAAATTGCTATTAGTATACTTAAATTTTATAAAATATTTATACTATTTAAAGCTAAGCTTTAGCGCAGTATTATTTTTTTAATTTAAAAAACTTAGCTTATTTCTATACTTAAACAGCTTTCTTTTAAAAATTAAGCTAAACTAAAATATCTACTTGCCTAGTTACTATATTTAAAAAAAAAATAAGCTGCTAAATAAAATGTTAAACGCGAAATAAACTTTTTTAATATATAAATATAATTATTTATTATATTATAATTTTTTGCAGATTAGAAGCGTGCAAAATAACTTTATATAATAGTAAAAATTTCTATTATAATAATTTTAGTAACGCTATAAAAATAATACTACACTTAATTATTACTTACTTTACTAAATTTATTTATATATTTAATAATACAGCAAACTTATTAAGAAATTAAAAAAATAAAAAGTAGTAGTAATATTTTATTACTTTTTTTATTTTTAACTATACGCAGAATTAATTACACACTTATTATATATATTTTTATAATAGTAGTAAATATATAATAAACTTTATTACTTATAATTTTTACTAAAGTTTAGCTTATATAAAAACGCAAGCAGAATAAGAAAAAAGTAGTAATTTAGTATATAATAACAAAATTGCTAGTTTATAACTTTCTATAATATATAAATACTACTATAACTATTTTATAGGGAAAAGAAGGACTTTTTATAATATATTTAAAAAATTTAAATTTAAGCATATATTATACAATATTAGAATAAATAACTAAGTTAAAAAACTGCTAGCTAAATAATATATAGCAGCTATTTTTACAGCTATTAAATAATTTAAATTTAATTCTAGTAACTAAACCGCAATTAGGCAGATAATAGTAAAAAAATTACTAAAAACTACTAACTATTGCACTTAATTACTAGAATAATTCTTATTAACTAATTTAAAATTAGTCTACTATTAAAAAATTGCTTTTAAAATTTTTACTATAGTAAAGTTAATTTATTATACAAAAAAAATTTAAAAGTATACTTATAAAATTTTAAAATAATATTAGCAAAATATTATATATATATACTTTGGTTCAAGGTGCCGGTCTTGTATAGCAAGGAACTAGCCCAGAGTCTAGGCCTCCTCGCAAACGCTAAAAACACAATAGAACGCAGAGCAGCATTAAGGAAATTGTTAATAAGTGTTATATAAATAGCGTTGGTGGCATAATAGTTAGTAGTCAATATAGCTTATTGCAAGAGTATAAGACAATTGCATAAAAGGAAGGCGTCCTTTTATATATATATTGTATATCTAGAACTGCTGCCTGCAGCTCCCTGCCCTTAACTATCGCAACCCATTAAAAACTATACAAAATACTATAGTCTACAATTCCTCTTAAGCTAACTTGCTAAACTAGAACTTTAATTAATACTCTGCATGCTATTACTAATTAAGTCGCTTACTTCCTTTTAGGAAAATATTAGTTAAAGCGCAAGCTTATAACTAAACCAAGCTCCTAATTTTAGGCTAAGGATTTATCTGTAGTTTAATAACAATAGTCCGCAAACTTAACTAAACGCCTTATTTTAGTTTAATCTAACCCGCCTAGCATTACCTAAACAAGTTAGTTACTATTAAAAATTAATAATTACATTTCTACAATTTTTAAATAATAACGCATTAGGTCTGCTAATGGCGATTGTTAATTTTAATAATCTATTTAGCTAGCCTAGTATTGTGTAAACTTTACTGCCTTAATACTATATTAAAGTGCTGGGTATAGCACCTAAACTGTGATTTTATACTAAATTCTCCTACTGCGTTGTATAATCTGCGCTAGCATCAACTTTACTTTTATTTATAGAAATATATATATACTTAACTACTACTAACTTAATACAAAGTCCTAGTGCAAAGTATTTAATAATAGTTTAATAAAAACAAATACTACATGCATATAACTAGAAATAATAATTTAGTACTATTATTAAAAGGCAATTTTTAGCAAATGCAAAGGCAATATAATAAATATATTATATAACTAAATTAGCTTAGTAATAATATGTTAATTAGCTATTAGACTAGACTTTTTTTAAAAATAGAACTTACTAATAATAAAAGCTTTTTTTATATATAATAAAACTAGTATTTGTTAGAAGCTTTATATAAAAACTTTTGCCTTTTAATATAGCTATAATATAATTAAAATAACTAAAGTTTTACGCTAAAAAAAGCTAAAATAGCTAATAATAATATATAAGTAAAAGCAATAAGCAGTACCCTAAAATTTATTTTTAAATAAATTAATTTTTTCTAGCTAAATATGTCTGTGCGCAACCATCCGGATAATATAGCAAATATATTTAATAAAATATATTATTAAAATATCTGCAACTTTATTAATGCTATAAAAATTATTATTGCTTTTTAAATAATAGCTAAATATACTATTTATAATAACCTGCACTAATATTTTAAAAAAATAGCTTTTTTCTAGTACTAGTTAAACTTAAAACTAGAATACAAGCTAAAAGTTATTAAAAAAATAAGTATAAACTAATAAGAAAAAAAGCTAAAACTTTTTTAGGTTTAACTATTTATTGCTTTAAGCCGCCTACAAAAAAAGCAATATAGTTTTAAAAATTTAATAAAAAAATATTTTTTAATAAAATAGTTTCTAAAAGTTAAATAATTCTATTAAGATATTAAATACAGTTATAACAACAATAACTAATATATTATATATATATAAAATTTACTAAACGCGCAAATTTAAGTATACTTGCAGAACTTAAAATTAAATATAAAATTTAATAATTTTCTATTTATACTTAAAGAACGCAAATATATATTAGTTAAAATTTTTTAAAATAAGTTTAACTAGAATAAGTAACTTTTCTACTACTAGTATAGTAATTAAAAAAATAAAAGCTTAAATTTCTTAGCAAATAATAATACTGCTTATTGCAGTTATTAGCTAAATAAAAATTTAAATTTTTAAAATTAAAGCTATTGCAACAGCAATTTCTAATAATATAAAAATAATTCTAATATATAATAATAGTAAAAATAGCAAAATACAAATACAGCTACTGCACTTTATTATAACAAGTAAAAAAGAAAATAGTAAAATAAGTCTGCTTTACTTTTTATATAAAAAAATATAAATAAGTAGAACTTTAACTACTTAAAGCAGCTAAATACTTAGTAGCTAAATAATATATATTTTAGTACAAATAAGTAATAGTATAACTAAATTTAAAAAATGTACTATAATTAAAAATAGCACTTTAATAAGCTTAGCACCCTATTTTAGAACGTACTCTTATATAATAGTAAAATTTTTTTTACTTTTAAAAAAGAAATAGAAAAATTATATAATTTTAAATTACAACTTAGCTCTAATAGCCTTGTATTAGAAAAAAATTGTATAATAAATAAAAATTTAAATAACTATAATTTAAATATATAGGCCTGCCTAATAACTAATAACCTAATAGTAAAAAAACTATACGCTAAACAGTTAGACAGCAAAAATAAAGCAGCCTATTTTATTAAATATATGCAAAAATTTTTTTTTTTAAAAGAATATCTAGTAAGTTACTAAGTTTACTATTACTTTTATAACTATAAGTTTTTTTTTAACAATTAGCTTTACACGCATATTAAATAAATATATAATAAATTATATAATATTTTTGCAATTACTTAAAAAAAGCTAAAAATAAACAGCTTGTTATATACTCTATTTAACCTAGTAGTTTAAGTATTTAAGCTATTAAAATAACT